CGTTAACAGAAATAGCTTTCGACCTTAGTAAAAAGTGCCTGATTTACAGAAAAAAACACTTGTATGGTCATTTTTTTGAAACAAAGATGAGAAAACTCAGCGAAATCTAGACCGGCCGGTAAAGAAAGTTTTTTTTCTACCGGCCGGTAAGGAATCCTCTACCGGACCGGACCGGCCGGTCTGCCGGTCCGGTTCCAACTCTGCCCACACCCACCCACACCCACACCAACACCCATGGCGAAATATACAATACATAGATACTGCAATGATTATCTTAATTGTTCACCTGATAATACTTCTCTTGTAGAGTCAATATCTAAACAAGGAAACAGTTTTTGGAAGCTAAAATTTTTGATGTTTTCATATCTCACTTGGGGCAACATACAGGCAAAAATTTTCTGGAAATCGGTGATATCAATGGAGCATATTGTCTGTGTTACGGTTTCTTTCTTTCCTTTCTGTCCTATATATATGCACGATTTTCATGTATGTCGTTGATGTACGTGGACAACTTTATTATGGAATCGAAAAAAACAATTCTGAATACATAAACGGTAGATATGAGATATATATGAAGAACGAGAAAACAAAAGAACCGATTAAAAAATCAAAGAGATGAACGAGAATAGAGGTTAACAATAAATAGTGAATATTTATGCATACGACATCACTGTAACAGTCTGTCTTTCGAATCGTCCATATTGTGCAATGGCTTCTAGGAACCTAGCTAGCTGACGCATATTTATAGATAAGATCTCATCAAGAGAAGTAACTTGTAAAAAGAGATCAAGAAAAATGTGAATGATTAAGAAGCAGAAGAATAGAAAAAAAACGAACGAAAATATGAAAGCGCTTGAATGAACAATGAACAGAGAAAGATTGAAGAAAATGAAGAAAGTGAACTATGGCGATAAAGGGTTACTGTGATAGCTGTAATAAAAATTATCATTTGTAATAACGCAAAATATTACTGGGTATATCGAAATTAATTATAACACCTTCAGCTAGCACAAGAATACGATCACTTTTAGTCACCGTGTTAAGCCGATGTGCAATTGTTAGAACAGTTCGATCTTCAAACTTCTTGGCAATAATTTCTTGAATTAATTCATCTGTTTCACTATCAATATTGGCTGTTGCTTCATCAATCAACAAAAATTTGCTTTTTTTCAGAATGCCTCGAGCAATACAGATCAATTGACATTGACCTGTACTCAGATTATTACCCGATTCTGCAATAGGCATTAGAAGACCAGCTGGATTCTTACTTACAAAATTTTTTAGTTGTACATCTTCGAGTGCCATCCAACATTGTTCATCGGAATACTGATTGAATGGATCAAGATTATATCGTAGAGTATCACTAAACAGTATAAGTTGTTGGGGAATGACACAAAGACGCGAACGAAGATAATTGAGTGGAATTCGACTTATATCAATATCATCGATAAGTATTTCTCCATCGGCATTTGATCGATCAATAAAACGAAAGAGACCGTTGAATAAAGATGATTTTCCTGCACCTATATAGAATATTATAAAATAGACAATTTTTATCAATATATTTTATAAATACCAGTACGACCAATGATACCAATTTTCTCACCAGACTCAATACGTATAGTGAGATTCTTTAGTACAGGTGCTGCATCGGATCGATAACGCAGGAAATAATTTCGAAACTCGATTGTTCCACGGCTTGGCCATTCCGGTGGTATTGTTATCAATCGCTTTTGAGTGTCTTGATCATCTTCATGTGGAAGCCGCGCATATTCATCAATACGTTCGGCACTTGTCATTAAAATTGTGGCTTCCATGAGTTGTCGAAGACCCCATGAAAACCATACTATTATAGAAATAGTACACATCAAACTGAGTGCAATTGATGATATTTGTATTTTATTACGTAAAACTATGACCAGAATAGCAGTGATAAACATGACTAAACATGAAATGAGATTGAACCTTAGCGAAATCCATTGCATTGCACCAAGCATCGTAATGTTCGCACGTGTATTTCTATCGATTCTGTCAGTTAATAATTCCATAAAATGTTCTTTAGCTTTAAATGCACGTATAGTAGATAAACCACGCAAAGATGTGGAAAAAAGTGTATAAACAGGACTTCGAGTAACATTTTCAAGTCGTTTTATTTCACGATTTGATTGTAAATAAAAATGACTCAATATCCAAAAGATGGGCAATATAACAATGAATGACAGTAAAACATATGGATTGATAAGGCAAATCATAATCATTGAACCAGCTACTATCAAAAGCCACTCTATACTATCTAATAGAATTGTTGGTACCAATTCATCAAGTACTTGTTGATCCTTAGTTGCTCTATTCAGAATACGTCCACTTGGATTTCTTTCAAAAAATTGTATCGATGTAGATAATAGTCTTTTCAACATATTATTGTGAAGTCTATTTGATCCATCTAACATGAGAGAGAAAAAATAGTTGCTACGTAAAAGATCTACAAACAGAAGAGCTAATATCAAACCAAAATAAATATAGAAAAATATTGGTCTCTCTTGCTGATTTCTATATGATTGTGTTGACCATAATTTGAGCCAATAGTTTGAAACATCATAAAGAAATTCACCAGTCAAAAGCAAAATAATAAGTAAACATAATCCAAACAAGCCCAAAGATGATGCAGTGAATAGACGCAACCAAATAGACCAACTGACAGTACCACTCACTGATACTTCTTCTGTTATGATTGGTTGTCTGTCATCAATCGACGAATCGAGATCAAGCATACTAGTTAGTGCTGGATTTTCCTTTGGAGTTGTCTCATCATTTTTAATAATATTTTCATCAAAGTAACTTTCTTTATCAATATGTCCATTACGAAAAAAAATTATCTGATGCACTTCTATGAGGAACTGTGTTTGATGTGTAATTAATAGTCGAGTTTTATGCTTTAATAACCCATGTGAACCAATACATCGTTCATAGATTTGTTTTGCTACTGTATTATCAACTTCTGACAATGGATCATCAAGTAAGTATATATCAGCATCATTATACAAAGCACGAGCAAGTGATACACGTGCTTTTTGTCCACCACTTAGATTCACACCATTCTCTCCGATCATTATTAAATCACGACTTGGCCCAAATAGATCGATATCAACATCAAGACAGCATGCATATATTACATTTTTGTATCGTTGTTCATCAAATGATCTTTCAAGAAGAATATTATTACGAAGTGTATCAGCAAATATCCATGGTGATTGAGGAGTATAGGAGAATGAACTGTTATACGTATTCAGTTGACCATTGACAAGATTTAGTTCGCCAAGAATAGCACCAAATAATGACGATTTACCAGAACCAACTGGTCCAGTAATGCCAACGAATGTCGCTGGTTCAACAGTAATATTCAGTGAGAATAAGCAAAGATTTTCGTTATTCCATGAAAATGTTGCATCAGACATGGCAATACTGCCTTTTCGCCCTTGATTCAATGAAGATGTAAATGATAATGAGTGCTCTTGCTGCACAGTCGTGAGTCGCATGAATGTATCTATTTTTTTCAAAGCAACATGTGTCTCACTTAATCTTTCAATGGCTATTGGTATCAAACATGTGACAGAGTGTCGCATTAAATTAAAAAATGAAAGAGTTGTGAAAATATCGATTGGATTCAATGAATATTTTAGGAGCCACATGCTACCGAATGTAGTAAGTGCGAGAAGTTGTGTTGAAATAAAGAATTGAGTCTTATTGAGTGCACGTAAACGAGATGCCTGTCGAATACTAGTAAGTTCATGCTGTCGCATTTGATGTATACGATCTTCTATTGATTTCTCCCAGTTATACATTTTGATGATATAATATCCATGGATAAATTCGCTCAAAGCATGTACACGTTTGTCACTACATGATGCTGTTATTTTTCGATACTTAGCAAATTTTTGATTAAATATTAACTGTATAAAGATGAATAGAACAAATATAATGTAGCTGAACAGTATAGGTAAAGGTCCAATAATCCAACAAAGAAGGCCAAATACGATTAATAGTTCAAGAAGTGCTCCCCATATATGATGCAAATATCTACACGCATCCTGTAATTTTGTTATGTCATTAGCGATCAAATTAACAATTTGAGCAGTATTAATTTGTTCGAACGAGACTAATTTTAAAGACAATGAATGTTTATAAATCATTAACATGAGTGCATTACGAATCTTTACACCTACACGACTAGAATAAAAGTGTAGCGGCTGTTGAAATACGACTTGAACAAGCGCACATATAGAGAAAAATATAGCATAAAGATAAGCAGCAGTAGGTGATTGTTGTTTATTACTTAAATTTATGACAATTAGACGAATCAGTAATGGCTGGGCAATGTGTGCGATTAAAAACGGAAAGTTGAAAAGACCAATAGCCATATATTCTTTCCAAAACATTTGGACAACAATTTTCCATGCTGTTACTGCTGTCCAGTCATAAAACTCTATTCTTCTCAATAATGTCGAGGACTTATCAGCGTAAGGTAAATCATCAAGATCATTATCAGTTAATACTCTTTTATAACCTAATGAAAGAATAGGATTAACCCACCACCAACACAGTATATGCAAACATCGAGTCCATGATGATTCAGCCCATTCGAGACGAGAAGATTGTCGTTGATTATGCCTACGATTATCGTACGATTTCGTTTCACTAGCAATTAACAATTCATGTTCATCGTTGTAATGCTTCTTCATAGTCTTGTTTTTATCAATATTGCGATTGACAATCTGTTTCTTTTCTTCGTTCTCATACGAAATGTATTCATGCATGAAGCCGTTATGTACTATTCGAGTAGCCCCTCTATCGTTTACTATATGGTTTAGACAAGATTCTATTCGTTCTTACCATTGCATTATTCCCTTCTTTTTTTCTTTTGTTTTCGTAACATTTGCTGAGGGCTGCGTTTTTTAGAATGAAATTTTTCCACGCTTCTTACGATCATTTATTCATCGGAGAATAATTAATGATAAATTTCTAAATAAAGGATAATAAATATGTTTTTATATTGAAGAGGAAATCACCTATCCATGCTGGGTATGAATATTTTTTATTCAGTAGGTAGGTTATTAGTAAAATTCGTTTGAATATATTTGGAAAATATTATTTCCTCTACTGAAAGGGGGATAATGCGCCGAGCAGCTCTCACGATCAAATGTTCGTTCGTTAGTTCGTTAGTTCGTATTGCAGAACGAAAGAAAAAAATATATACAGAACAAAAGAAGTGTATTCGTCGATTTTATTGGCTGCAGAACAAAAGAAAAAGAAAATATTGATATAAACACATACCAAAATATTTCATAGGACTTGATTCTAGATTCAAATTATGAATTTTTAGAATAATGCAATGTTTCTTTTAATGTTTTATTTTTTTATTTAAATGAAAAAAAAAAGATTTCTATTAACATATGTTTGTATGCAAAATCTAGTTGACTATCTAATTATTGAAAATGATGGTAGTAAAACTATACATGTATAATAAGAAGAAGAATAATAACTATTTTTAATGATGAAGCTTCGAATGATTTCTATCATCTTTGAATCTAAAATCAAGTCCGATGAAATATACTAATACATATAATTTCATAATTGCAGCATTCATAGGCACAA